TATTCAATCCTTTAGATAAATCTGATAATTAAATTAAATATTTTATAACAATTATATTTAAAAGCTAAAAGCTCTTCTGGTTAATAAAAACTAGATTGCTTTTTGTAGTTGTATGTTCGATTCCGATACAAGCCATTTTAAAAAAATTTTAAGTTTGAAAAAAAATCTTTTCACTGAAATTTTATAATAAAGATAAAAAATTAGTATATCATCAAATTTTCGAATTAAAATAGACTTTAGAGTTTAGTTTTTTTATAAATATAAATGATTTTGAATAATAAAAAAACCAAAATTTTTATAGTTGTTTATTAGGTATTTATGTAATTTTTTAATAATAAAATAAGTTTAATGACAGAAAAAATAATCATTGTTAAAATATAATTAAAAACTAAATTCTCATATAATATTCGATTAAAAAAAGGATAGAAGATTTTAAAATTTTTAAAAACGTTTAATAAAAATATAAATTATTATTAATGAATTCTAAAGAGTTTAATTGAAAAATTTAAGATATTTTAAATCTTTTTTTTTAAATTTAAATCATTTTGATAAAAAAATCTCTTATTAGAAAATTTAAATATTTGTAATGTTTTTATTAAATAAATATGAAAATAAAATTTACTAATCAAAGTATTATTTTAAGTAAAATTTTAAATTCATTATTCTTTTATTATAAAAAGCATGTTCAAAATATTTGAAAATATTTGTATAATAATTATTTAGATAAAAGTTAAGTATGATAGAATAGTTTTTATTATTTTGAATTACAGTTATTTATTTTTGTAAAATTGATTTATAAAATTTTTTTACTCAATCATTTTTAATTAATATACAGTTTAAAATATTTGACTTGAATTTTTTTATTAGAAGTCTTTGTATAAAACTGAGGCGTTCTGAAGGTAACTAGCAGCTGACAGATGACATGTAAATAAACTCTTAGTTTATAAATTTCTTTTAAATTAGTTAATTGGTTGTCATTTATCATAAAAAAGATAGGTTTTTAATATTGAATTAATAAATTTAAAATGTCAAATTACAAATATTAAATTTACAATTGTTTTATGTAGTAGAATTAATATTATTTATTTTATTTACTTGCTTATTATTACTCTTTTTTTCAAAAACTTTTGGGTTAAAAAGTAAAAAAATTATAAAAAGCAATAGATCATAATGTCTTAATAATTAATGTCTTGATGATAACTATAAAAACTATTAAAAGAACTTATTTTGCTTGTTTTTAAGTTATTATAAAAATATTTTTATTGGTAATTTTTTATTCTTTTTTGCTTTATATATTTAAACCTCTTTTATTAAAATTGGTATTGTAAGTACAATAAGTACTTTTCGATAACATTATTTAATCTCATTCATTAAAATTATTATTTCTGTTTATATTGTTTGAATTATTTTTAGTGTTTATTGAAAGAATAACCGAGTATTGTAAATAGTAATTTATAAAAGTTAATTATAATTTATATTGAATGTTAAGTTTCTTAATTAAAAAATTTCTATAGCTTGTTTTACAACAATAAACAATGTTTTATAAAGTTATTTCTTTAACAAATGATTTTAAAGCGTGTTTTAATTATTTAGTATTTTAATTAACAAATAATTTATTGAATTTTAAACGAAAAAACAAAAAAAGTTTTACATGTTTTTCTAACAAGTCTTTTAAATTTTATTTAACTATTCAAAAAATGATGTTTTAGTATAAATTTTATATTTTAATGTTGATTATGCTCATTGATAAAAACATATTTAAAATTATTATTTTTACTTTTAAATAATTTATTAGTAAAAAAAATTATTTTTGATTATACTTTGATTTTATAAAAAAATATTTATTTTTTTGATTTCAATAATTAATTAATTTTTTGTAGATATTTTAAAATAATTATTTTATAATCTATAAAGTAATAAGCAAGTTAAGTTTGGTTTAAACAAAAATTAAGATTTGTTTTAAAATATAAGAAAATAATTAAATAATCAAAATTGAGCGCTGGTTGTTCATCACAACCAGGTTCTTTTTTTAACGTTCGATTCCTGATTAGCTTATTTTTTAATTAAAATAATTTTGATTTAATTGATTATAAATTAAGTCTGATTTAACTAAAAAGAGATATATTAATTCTTATTAAATTTATTGTAAGATTTCTATATTTAAAGTTAAAAGGTTTTATAAAATTATACAATAATACCTGAGAATGATCAGGTTGTTCATCACAACCGGTTATTTTTAATAATGTTCGATTCTCGATTAGCTTATTTTTTAAAACTTTCTTTTTAACTTGAAATAATTGTTAATAAAAATTAAGAGTATAAAGTTAGTTCTATTAAAAAAATAAACTTAGGTAATTTTGTAAAATAATATTTAAAATTATAATTACGCAAATTTATACGGTTATTCTACTTTTAAACATATAAAGTAAAGATTATATGTAAATAAATTAAAAATATCTTAAATAATTATACTTTTAATCTAAAAATTAAAAACACTTTTTTAAAAAATAGCCATTTTAATTTTCTTCTAATTTTCATTTTTAAAATCTTTTTTGAAGCTTTTTTATATGCAAAACATTAAAATGATATTGATAAACTACTTATTCATGTTAATATTTATTCTAGATTAAGTTTAAATAATATTTTTATTAAAAGAGCTAT